TCCTGAAGCCAATGGACATGTTAAAGTGATGAACCAGATCCTTTTCCAGTTGCTGCGTTCTGTGATCAGTCCTGATCAGCAGGATTGGGATCACCATCTAGGACGAGCACAGCTAGTGTACAATACGTCGGTACACTCTTCCACAGGGTTCGCCCCTTATCGGTTGCACTGGGGTCGTGAACCACGGCAGCCTCTTGATGATAGCATCGACAAGGCTGTGACGCCTGGGACTGCCGCATTCACCAGATAGTACGAGAGGGATATCGAACGAGCCAAAACTAACCTGCTTAAAGCCCAGAAGGCTATGATTCAGCAGGCTAACAAGCATCATCGCCCATCCCCCATTCGCACTGGTGACTGGGTCTGGGTACTCAGTTATGAGTTATCGCGGGAGGAGGACATTTCACCCAAGCTGTTGCCGCATTATATGGGTCCATGACAGGTGGGAGCTGACCCTTTCGGGCCCTCCTATCATGTGGACGTCCCCCTGCATCTACAAACCTACCCCGTCTTCCATGCATCTAAGTTGTTACCGTTTACCCCAGCTGATGCATTTCCAGACAGGCCCCCTCAGTTTGGTCCCCCGATCCCTGGGAAGGGATATGAGGTGGAGTCAGTTGAGAATGAGTAGGGGACAGGCCCGGATAACGAGTACCTTGTGAAGTTTCTATACCAGCCCCATACTTAGGACCGCTGGTTTACTCGCAAGGAGCTTCTGAAAACCGCAAAGTCTGTTATCCTCAAATACAAGACTGCGCAAAGGGGAGAATCCCTTCGACGCTCTGCACGCCTACGACCCTAGCTCGGAGGTCCTCGCTCCGGGGAAGGGTAGGTCTGCAATGACTTGCTAGTTCCAGGTTGCCTGTCGCCTCTCTCTAACGAGGTTGTACCATAGGTAAGGATAAATTCGTAATTTGGTTTGGTTGAGGGCTAACCGAGAGACCTATCTGTAAGGAAAATTCGTGAGGGACATATTTGTAAATATAGGAAATATGGGCCCCGTACTAACTCAAATTTCCTACAGCGACCCTAACTGCGAATAGCAGACCCGGGCTACCCCTAGGACAGACAGGCCCGATGGGCCTATGCTGATAGACGGTCCTATAGCCTATAGCTGGGTAGGGAGAGGCCCTAGGGGCCAAAACAGAAACGGTACCGGTCGGTCGGTCAGTCCGGTCTAGGTCGAGTCTAGGCTAGGGTCGAGTATAGATAGGATGGGAACATCAGTCCTGGGCTTTTGGCATTTGACACTTCGTGGTGGAAGTTGCTGCTCACGCAGCATCAGGTCGTCGTGACTGATTCATGCGTGGGAGACCGCGGCCATAGCCAGACCTTCGGAGCGCTTACCAGACTGGGGGCAATGTTGTCTGCTCTGCCTCTCTGAGAGTCAAAGCGGTCTGGGCTAGTAGAGGTCTGATGCGTTGGAGCACGTGGTGCATTGCTGACCCTCCTCAGGAGTTGGGTCCCAGTGGCGATGCAACGATATCTGCATCTTCTCAGAGATTATCATCGTCTAGACTTCATCTTCATTAGAGATTGTTGGCGCTGCGCTTCTCCTTCATCATCTGAGTGGCGATTGGCTCTGGGAGCCTGTTTCATATGGCCGCAGGCCACTGAGTTCGATGTCAGGGTGGCGCTGGGTGTTACCTGGGGTTCTGGTGCTATTTTTAGCTGTTCTGAGGGTGTGGGTTGAGGCGCTACCCTTCTGAGGGTAGCGCAACAGGGTTCTGAGGTTATTCAGTTGAACCATGCTCTGAGTTTAATAAACAGTTTTAATACTGTGTCTGAGTTGTCATCTCTTCAATGATTTCTGGCTGTGATCTCTCGGTTGTCTTCTATGAATGACTGTTGGGACTTCTGTAGAGAGAATTCACTGTGTTGTGTATTCTGTCACTTCGCTCCTCTGAGTCTTTCGCTGCGTTCCTTCTGTTGGGCGGTGTGACACTCCACTACCTCTCCCCTTCCCTCTGTGCATGTATGGGCGTGTACGGGAGTTCCTGTGAGTGAGCGTTGACAAAATTTCCACGGGCAATCATGTTCATAACACTTGCCTATGTTTGCTGCTCTTGGCAGCTTATGGACTCTCCTTGAATATGGCTGCTTGGGTGGACCAATTGACACCTGGCTAACGACTCTTGTGATCTTGGCTGAAGCTTGTGGTGCCTTCTAAAGATATACTCTTCAACCCATAACTGTAATCTACCAGGTACTTCCTGTCACATTCTACTTAACTAACCTGCCTAGGCCTTTGCAATCATGGCACCAACGAAAGCTACTCTTCTAGAGTATTCATGAATGCTGTACAAGTGGTTGGAACCACTAATGGAACATGGAATGGGACTCGGGACTAGGACCTGGGACTCGGGATTTGGACCTGGGAATGGGACTCGGGACTGAACCATATGAGGATTGCAGTCTGTTTGTCACAATCTGATAGTGTATAGGCATGAGAAGTGTGCATCTCATGCTTGATCTGCTTGAGCATCAGCAGCAAATGGGTTGACGGGCAATCGCCGTCTCACTGATACACGGATGGGCAGCAACAAAAACTTTCCAAGAAAAACTGCACTGCTGACGGGCAATCACCGTCTCAGTGATACACGGATGGGCAGCAACAAAAACTTTCCAAGAAAAACTGCATGCGGTATCCTTTCTTCTCCTCAAATACACCATTGGCAAAATCATGTGAAACAAGATGTTTATGCCTTAACATATTATCTATGCACAATTAGAGATAGAAAAATGACAAATTTCTGCCTGCCCCTTACGATTTGCTTTATTTCTATTTTATTTTTGATAAGAACGAACGAGAACTAGGAATGCATGCGCAGACTAGTGAATTCATTTAATCTTACATATTCTAACAAGTATATATCGTCCGCTTGGCTTGAAGACCCCTGGACACGATCCCGAAGACCCCCTTAGCAGGCATTACTCATGGCTCTGTAATCAGACTCGACTCCAACTTCACTTCCAGCATGCATACACACAGGTGTCAATGCTAGGAGAACATCCACAACGCAGAATCAGCAACAAGCGTGAGATGGCGCACAGAGCCCACACAGAAAACTCAGATATATGGCCCTTGGCCAGAAACTCAGTACAAGTCAACTTGTCACAGCTTGCAGCTATGGCGTCTCATCGCCTTTCTGAAGTCCAACCCGTACACTGTTTCCACCATCACGCACACACGTACTCCCGCATGCATGCACTGGATCTACCCTGAATGCCCCACGCCCTCACACACACTCCTACTCAGTTAACGTCAGCAGCTTGGCGGCTATGGCCGCCGTCGTCTTTCTCCTCAAGGTGGCTCTAGCCGCCGTCGTCCTCCTCTGCCCACTTCGTCTCCGGGCACCTGCAGACCTTGCAAAAGTCGCACTGGCAGCGCTTCCGCATAGCTCATAGGCGAATGAATGAATGGCTGGGCGCTGCCCCTTTATTTACACTGTTTCGTCAGCTGGCCTGCTGTGGCTCTGGCCCTGGGCCCAAACCGCATGGAACCCCCAAACCGTGTGAAACTTCCCAAACCGCGTGGAACCTCCCCCACATGGCACTTGCTGACTAGACAAGGTGGACTGTGGCTGACCCTGCCTTGCTGACTCAGCGACTGGCTATTGACCTCTACAGTACCAAAGAGCCACCTACTGACTTCTAGAAACTCCTAGGCCTAGACTAACTGACCCTTCGTAAGAGCTAACCTGTGCGACAGACCTTAGGACTGCTAAAACTAAGACCCACGGTTCAAGTCCACGTGACCAGACACTGCACACAGACTATTGACAAACGACTTTCGGTCAGGTCGCAGGATCAAGGCACACGGGGTCAACGGGTACTGTACATAGGGATAGGGGTTAGGTCTAGGGATCAAGCCCTGGGATCTGCAACTGTCACACGAACTGGGTGAAACCGTTTCAGCTCGAATACTTGGGCAGGAAATCGCAATCTTCTTGAAAGAAAATGGATATGAGATTGACCTTCTTGTCTTCTAGACCTACAAAAAGCACCACCACCTAGGATTTCTACTCGCCCCGCTCCCAGTAGTATGTAATATTTTCTAACATTGCACTTCATCTTTCTGATATGGGATATACATGGATGAACTTTTGCATCAATAAGGGAGCAATCTGAATAAGAGCCTATGATCTAAGCAGCTACCCCTTCATCAGCCCTCATCAAACGAGCAAAGGCAAATACTCTGAGCATTTTTTCTGCATACAATCAGAGAAAGACACAAACGAGTAGCAAGGATTGCCTGCATAAACAAAACACAAAAGCAAACATAATCACACGAGTAAAGTGACAATGAAAGACTCACAGGAAAAAGCCGCAGAGTAGTGGAAAGAGTACACCTATGATAAGGCCGAGATGTTATGCCGGTGTAATGGCCTAGAGATGCTCATGCCCGCTTCAGGAGTTTTTAAATGGAAGGCGTGTTGAAATATTACTTTGGAGAGTATGTAGATGCAGTATAAGTATCACCCCACGACATCTTATGACGTCTTTGACATAACTCACACACACACACACACACACACACACACGCACACACGCACACACGCACACACACACACACACAGAGTGAAAAAAGGGAGCAGTAAAAACAAATGGAAGCGGTACCCCAAGGATAATTAAAAAACTGTCTAAATGTAAAATTGCTTAAACGTTGGACTGTCTCAACTAAAGTGCTCTCATGGTCTACAATAGGACAAAAGCTGCTTTGATTCTGAATCTACTCATCTGGGTGGAATTGGGGCTGTTATGGGGAAAATTTAAAACACACATGCGGCTTCAATTTTGGATCTACGCATCTGGGTGGAAAAAGGGACTGTTGTGGTGACAATTTACAACACACACATGCATGACTAAGTTCACATGCCTTCTTTTCTCCGTACTCATGTCTGTTTGGGAGCTGGCAAATGCACCAGCTGCATTTACGCGAGTCTTAGAATAGCTTGGGATAGATGGTCAAATGCAGACTGACTTCCTCTCATACCCACCTCCTCCTCCAAAGCTTCAATGTTCACTTCCTCTCTTCTACCAGGAGCTGCAGAGGCCTGCGCACCACCATCGGGAACTTGGACCAGCTTCGCCTCCTTTGCATCATAAGCTCCTGTTGCACACCTGTTCGTATTTTCACCTTTATGACTGTCAAATGATCTGCTCGTACCACCTGAAGCATTCCCATTTGAAATCCAGTTTTGCTTTCTTGCTGCAGGGCACTGCCTGCCATCTTGCTGTGTTGCGCCATGCTCCTCAGGAGGAATGGCCCCTTTGTCTTCTGCTGAACGGAAAGCAGTGCACGCAGAAATGTTTGCATCTGTGTCGAGGATCGGGAGAACCCCTTCGTTTGCCCGAACAAGTATCACAGCTGCCCATTCCAGCCCCTTGGCCTGCAAATTGATGTTGACATCAGCAAAAGTCAGGTCCACAAGCAGCTGCTGGCGTTTTTTTTTTTTTTTTTTTTTTAGAGGTCCTTATGGTCCTGGCTCCATTTCCATTCTGGGGAGCGTCAGTCCGGTTCCTTTCCACCGGCAAGTCAAATATTGAACTACATGGTGAACACTCTCACACTTCCTCCCATCTGGCCGGAGGAACTCTGAACTGCATTGACCGCTCCTTTTTTGGAGGATTGACTGTCAGCTTGCCCTACCCTGGTTTTCCTCTCAGACCTCCTCCCTGGCCTGTCAGATATGACTCAAAGAAACGAGAAAACTGGGAGAGTTATCTATCCTCCTGAGCCTACAGTCTCAGTTTTGTTGTCGTCATCCCCCTCCTTTGCATCGAACTTCGGCTCCCACCATCTTAAGCTACAGGGTCCTTGTTTCTTTCCTTGTCAGCTCTGGAGTCTGAACCCTTGGCTGTCTTGGAGCATCTCCTTTTCCTGATGACCTGTAGGGCCAGCAACCTTGGCATGTGTAGAACCGGCTGCCACATTTGAGCATTGAAGAACAAGAACCCTTAGTTCATTTTGAAAATAGTAAAATACATGTTACATATCAGCACACAAGCTCAGCCATGTCGTAATGTCGTTTTCCCCTTTTCTTTTTTCTCTTTTTTCTGTTTTTCAAAAAGAGGAAGTTTTCATTTAAAGCACCACTACCTTTTCCCATGCCGCCCTCGGGTGGGCCTCCGATCTTTTAGGAGGCCGGAGCAAAACAATGGCCGCCAATGAGATTTATGAACGGCGGTCGTCAACGGGCCCAGCCCCCGATTTTTGGGAGTAGGATATTTTCCCGTTTTCCCAACAGCGGGAAAGGTAGCGGTGGTTTAAGGGCTGGAAAAAAACAGGTCCAGCCTCCTTAACAGAAACTATGCACTCCACACTTCTCTCCGTTCTGGTCCAGAGCTCCTAAGACACCGGCTTTGAGTGCTTCTTGAATGGAAGGACTTACCACTGCTCTACACCTGTGTTCTCTGAACAAAACTTGGACCTGCTTTTGCTCTTTCCTAGTCTCTAGAATTCTTCTCAGTCCTGCCAGACTGCCTGATTTTCTTGCTGTGTCCTGGAGCTTTTACTAGTGCCTTCCTACAGGAACTCTCCCTTTTTTTGCACAGTCCAGTCTCCCTCTGAGTACCCTGTTTCATCAATCTATTTCAGGTTACTGACTGTCTCCTTGTTGACTGTCTAATTAAAACCTTGTTTTCTGTGCGTTTTCCTTTTCAGTTGACCTTCACATTGTTGGGTTTCTGCTGTGATATGAGAGCCTGATGCTCTTACTGTTCCACTTCTGCACGGTCTTCATCCTCTTGTTGGGCATCCATCCGGTGATGTTCCACCTGTGTCCAGTTCTCAAATTTCAGACCTTTGCCCTCAAATTTCAGACCTTGGTGCTTGTCTCCCTTGCAGCAACCATTCACCGAAGAAAGTCCTTAACATCTGTTCTCCTCTCTGAGGATTAACTTCTCTATCCATCTTCCCTGCGAGCTTTCTCCACTCTGATCTCACCCCAACTTCTGTAGTTTTGCTTCTCCCCATGATTCCTCAAGTGAGTATTGTTTGTTTCCTATCGTTTGCCTGCACATGGATCCCCATATTACTCAACTGATGCTCTCCTGATCAGGTCTAGAATGTTACACTTTAGAAGTAAGAAAAGTCAGAATCTCTGGAACCACCTAATTAGTCCCATCCATTATACTAGAGAGTCGTCAAGAAACCTTTAAGTGGTAAAAAAGGTCCAAATCGGCGGATACTGACCGTATGGGAGATCGGTCGCCTCAGGAGGGTTTCGTCGTTGCTTTTCCACACACAAGGCGCTACCACGACGCGACTTTCTTCATTCCAATCGGAATACAGAGATTGGAGACTATTTTGTCTCCACCTCTCCTTCCCTGTCCTTTAAGTGAGTAGGAAGAGCTGGTCCATTGGGAATGTAGTCGTTGTTAAGCCTGACGATGAGCTTCTCTCCCCCAGAAATAGCACTTTTGAAGAGAATATGTTCAAGATTGGGAGGTGAGCCGTCATTTGGGCCCTTTGGAGAAAACCGTGCCTATTAACTATTGAAAAAGTAAGACTCAAGGGCGAGGAAATGACGGAACTAATTAAACGGTATGTTCAGGAAGAACTCACCATGCAATGG